CTCTCTCTCTCTCTCTCTCTCTCTCTCTCTCTCTCTCTCTCTCTCTCTCTCTCTCTCTCTCTCTCTCTCTCTTCCTTTCTCTCTCTCTTTAGGTCTCTCTCTCACTCTCCCTCTCTCTCCCTCTATCTCACTTCCCTCCCTACCTATCTCGCTCGTAGTTACACCCACACGACCACTTTCTGTTTCGGCCTTCTCAGCCTCTTTTGACTTAGGGACCTTTGACACTGAAATTCGAATTTGGGGTCTGCAGCGTGAAAAGGCCTTTCACAAGTAGCAGGTAGGAAGGCAGAAGACGACAGAAAGTTAGTACCTTTAGAGGCCAAAGGAATTTTAGAAGTCCGGTAGGCTTAGAGTCTAGAGATACAGGTCTAGTAGTCTGAGTCTAGGGCCTGCAGTGAGGGATATCAGTCTGCAATGATGTTTCCCCCTGAAACGGGGAAGATACCGGTAGCTTGGGAGGCCGAGCGGCCTGGAAAGTCACTGCTTGAAGAGGCAGTAGGTCGGTATATCTTCAGGGGGAGCGAAGAGCTCAAGTTTGGCAACACACTGTTTGGGCAAGCACTGGATGGGAGCAGCGCCAAGGAAGGAGAAGGCGGGTTCGGCCTTCCACCTCAGCTATGGTGTGGAGAGGACCAAGGAGGGGCTTCGTGGGAGGTAGTAGGAGGAGGAAGACATCGAGCAAGGAGGAGGATGACAGGGGAAGCTTACCTGGCTATGGTGGTCTGCATCTTCATCTTCTTGGTGGGCGCTGCATCTGGAAGGCCCCAACTAGGGTAGGAATCTTCAAGGAAGACTTTGGGGCAGTATGGCAGCATAGTAGGAGGGACGTAGTAGTCTTGCGCTGTCGTCTGAACATCGGTGCTTCACTCCAATAGTCCGCCATAGCAATGTGCTCAACATAGTAGGGAGGAAGGTTTAGGAGATGGCATGTTTTTATTGTCATTATTATTATTATTATTATTGTAAACAAGAAGTTGGGGGAGTGAAAGGTTGGAGATGGTGGTGACACGAAGGGGGATTGACATTGGTATTTGTTTGTGTTCATCTTCTTCTCCTTCCATTCTTATTCCTTCTTCTTCCATGTTCTATTTCTCTTCCCAAGGTCTTTCTTTGAGTTGTTACACTTCAATATAGACAAGATCATAACAATTGGTATCGGAGCGATACTTACATGCTGGCGAGAGGTAGTCTTGTTGATCCGACCCTAATCCAAGATGATTAGGGCTAATTAATCGCGGATTAGGGTTGGCTAGTGAAGAAGTGGGGTGGCGACGTAAGTGGGAGCTGCCCCCACCTGTCCCAAGTCTTATGGGGCCGGCGTATGACCTGGCCAGGTTGATGGAGTGGATGAATGGGGTGACAAGAGACCGGAAGTGAGTAGTTGGGGTGATTTAATGGAGAAGAGAGTGAGAGGTGACTCACACCTGGGGGTGACCTGGGCTCTAAGCTTGAGGAGGACATTGACCGACTTTTGGGCTTCTCTCCAAGAAGTTGAACTTGGTGGTGAAGTAGCCATGGATACACCAAATGATTGTAAGTTGCTGATTGATCTTCAACATCGATGTGGGATGCGGCTGTGTACATTGGTGTAGAGTAGACCCTTCTAGGTTGGTAGGACTGTAGAGTAGAGGGTGCTAATTGGGTCAGCAGGACACATGAGAGAGGGGGGTGAGTTGTACTTCATCTCAGAGGTCCGGGTCACACAGGTAAGTGCCATGTAACTAACCACACACGGCCTTAGTTCAGTGGGTAGAGCACCGGTGTTGAATGTGCATTGTGGTATAGGGGCGCATGTTTGAATCTTCGTACCTGCGCCCTGCGCATTATGTGTGTGCACACCGGGCAACGCAAGAGATTCGATGCCCGAAACCGGCCCACATGCAGGGGTTTCAAGATACAGCTCCGAACTGTGGGATCCAGCCATTGTTGCTGCCACATCGGAGGCTGCCCCCCTGAGCGTGCCACACGGCATTGCTCATTTTGGGTTGCTGAAGAGCATCACTTGCGCCTCCTCTTGGGTTGTGTGAGTTCATGGGGGGATGGGGCGGGGGGAGGGGTGGACTCAGTCGGGAAGAGCACGGCAGTGAGGCTAGGGTTCACTATTCCCCTAGCAGGCCAACGACACCCCCCTCAGTGATAGGTGACAGGGTGCTTGATTGCCTCTCGGCAGGTCAACCTTGGGGGCCTGGGAACCTGAATCGGGGTACAGTGCACCCAGTTGCCGGCGATCAAGAAGCACCGGTCTCGATTGATACCTGTCCAGGTGTGTCCGTGTTGTTGAGGT